AAACAGAGAAAAAATGGGAAAAAAAAAAAAAAAACAAAATATATTAGTTTATTTTTTTTTTTGTTATTTTTTTTTTTTTATTATCTTGGAAGTTTTTATTTGAGAGGTTTGTTAAAAGAATAAAAAACTGAATTTCAAGTTTTGTTTTTTTTCCATAATTTGTTTAAAATTTTTTTTCTTTTTTTTTAACCGTTTGTTTTTTTTTTTTTTTTTTTCACGCGAAATGTTTTTGTCCCTAAAGCCACAATAAAGGGGCCCCCCCCCCCCCCCCCCCCCCCCACACACACACACACACACACTTCAATATATATAGGCACATACCTAACTCCTTCAATTGCCTGATCTTGGTTTTTTTGGTATTAAGAACAGCAGCAAACTGAGGACAAAAAGACAATAATATATATGTTGCAGGTAATTTTTTTTCTTAGGTAAATTTAATTTTTCACTAGGTACAATTTTTTCACAAGGGATTTTGTTATCAGCTAACTTTTGATTGACTTTTCCCAGACAACACACTTATAGAAATACAATGTAAGAAGCATGCACAGTCAACTACACTTCTGGGTGCAACTGTTCAAAGACTGATTAGTGCTAACCAGGGGGTTAAATTTTAATCCGGGTTTCTTTTTGTCTTGTTCAAAGGCATTTCCTTGTACAATTTTGTCTAATTCTTGGTAGAGCATCGGATGAACAAATTGTAGACAAAAAGAATTTGAACTGAATTTGATTTGTAAGAGTTTCATGACTGAAATTCAAATTTTGCACTAACGCTGCATTATCTTAATCCAGCTTTGAACAGCCCTTTGGCCCTGAAGCTTTTGACCCATTAATCTACATGTACAACAGATTGAGGGCTGAGAGTAAGGCAACCTTTCTGTGCCAGGTGAGTTTTAGCCCTAAGAACACAGCCGACATTTCATGATGCCATGTCCACTGGTTTCCCTACTGAATGATGTCTTTTTTCAATAGCTAGGAATGAACAAAGAAATTCTGATAACATGTCACTACCGGGCTAACCGAGATCTGGGCAGTGCTTCTGATTGGTTGAGCCGCGAAGGAAATTTGCGTCAACCAATAATTATTAGAAGCACTATGCAGATGTGGGTAGTGACATTTTGCCACATAACCAGGAGGCGTAATGAAATGTTGGCTGTTTTCTCAGGTTGTCTACTTGACTTGTGGGCACGTGAATTTTAGTGACTCATAAAGTATGAACACCTGACCTTTCCAAAAAGATCTAACTCCATTTCCTCTTTAGCTGTCACAGACTTTTCCAGAAGCTGAACAATAAAAAAGAACAAACCAATAGAAAAAACGTTAATACCATTAATAGTTATCCTCTGACTGATGAATATACCAAACATTCAGTTCTTTTTGATATCCCTGGAGGATGTTGAAAGAAATTGAAAAACTTTGCACATTAGAGAGTGGCATGATTTAAAACTTTTCATGTGTTTTCCTTGGATAACACCCAAATGTGTTATGGTAGTAGTTTACTAATAAAAATTATTTTGAGCATATCGCTTCAATTTGTAAATTTAGGTGGGCATGAATTTTTTTCATGCAGTTTTCTTAATTAACCAGTGAAATTAAAAGCCACTGTATCAACAGCAAAAAAAAATTATACAGCTTTACAAACTTTTTAGTGTCCATGTAAACAATGATCTGTTTACAGCTAATGTATTATTAGTTTTGTCTAATTAGTAACTCAAAAGATAATTATACTAAATGTACATTACATGCAAAAATCCTCCAAAATTTGGTTGGATGCCGTAGCCTTATTGTTGGACTTCAAAATTTGAAAGTTCTCATTTCTCATCAGTAAACACAACTATACAACAGAATGTTTAGATTTACCACTACATGTATAAAAAGGCTAGTGTGATCAACAAACCCTCAAAGCATCTTCCCTCTCTGAAGAAAGCCTTTCATTATCTGACCTCAATGATGACATTTCTTGCTAAGAAGAGCAGTTAAAACAAACAAACACAAAGAACACATTAATTTAAATGTCTTTAAATATGGTGTACATGTATCTGTCTTAAGATATGAGGTGGAAGAAAAAAATAATGTGCTCATTTGTACAGAGCTTGTTTTTCTTTTTCTGTTTGTTTGGTTTTTTTGCATGTAACACCTGCAGTTGGCTATATCACACTTCATTTTGCCTGAAACTGTACCATAATTCTCCCAAGACAGAGCATTTAAGACATCATTCAGTGACAAAGAAATTCTAGCCCTATCAAACAATATGGTCACCATATATAAAATGTCACCTTTAATAAAACATTTTACCTTTAGTTTTGCCATTTGATCCACTGCTAGGCCAAAAATGTTTTTCACTACAAGAGCACTATCATCAACTTTGGACAATTTCAGTGATCCCAGTTGAAACTAAAAATTGAACATGTAGAATGAAAATTAATATTTCATATTTTATATAAAAGCTTCCAAAAATGTGAATTAAATATGAAACAAATTTTGTGGCAACTAATTAACTCCGCGGAAGTCTCTGAAGGCAAACATTACACCCAACTTATAAAAACGGGCATTCCCTTGTGCACAAAAGGCACAAGTTTTGAGGTTGGAATTCCGAACAAAGGTCTAGATGAGATTTACCATGTTCATAATGACCAGAGTTCTAAAAAAAGAAAAAAAAAACACAGTACATGTGGCAACAAAAGGCTATATACAAGCATATTCTTAATAGTATCTTTTTTATAAGGTTTGCTTCTTTTAGATCAAATAACTGCCTATTTATGAGTTTAATTCGAAAAATACATGTGTCTTAAAAGGAAATTTTCCTTCCAAAAACCTCTCTTGGTATTCTTTACCTTAATGCCATCTCCAATATGCTTCTTCCAAGAAAACTGTTGAGGTAAACAGGACTACCTGTCAATAAGTGTTAACCATTTAAGTCCTAAGAATGATCAACACCAATTTTCTCCTGATATATCAATAGATAATCAAGAGAAGAGATTAGGAGAATTAATAAAATGATCAGCTGTGTGAAAATGCTAAAAACAAATTCTCTCCACCGGTTCTTCAAGGAAATGTAAGGAGATCAGTAGGAAGAATCATAAGGTGCTAGGAATTAGGGTCACCAATATTACCTTACTGTAAATTTGTACAAAATGAGAATGCACATACTGTTTTACATTCCATTATCTCCCAACCTGTAAATGATTTCCATGAATCTTAGCATGATAAACAAAATTATCTTGTCCTATTGACTGTCCGGTTAAAGCTCTTCTTGTCTGGGTAGCAAATTCAGCTACACTCATGTCTGCAGTCTGGGCCATTGATTCCACAGTTCCTGCATCAACTTTAAATAGAGTTGTACATGTAGATAATTAGTAGACATCAAATACATTTAAGTTAAGAAGGAGATCAAAGGTGGCCTATGAATAAATACATGTTGCATTTAATTGATAAATAGTAATATAAATATGTAGAGATGGAACATCCAAAAACAAGACTTTGAGAGACACATCAGAAACAAGTCCATAAGCAACCTTGACATTGGATCAAAATTTTCTGAGACTGCCTACTGAGAGTGCAAGGCCCTACCAGTTGAACTATTATTAAAACTACATGTGTACAACTGGGAGTTGGTTATGTCATCGTAGCTGGTTCAACAACAACCATGAAAGGATAGAGATGAAATGATGGACATATATTATGTGAAAATTGTACATTAAAAACAGCAGAATGAAGGATTAAATGTGTAGAGGGTCATTGCATTCATAGATGCAGCTTTTGCAGATAATGATAATGACGACAAATAATGTCATAATAATGCTATGATAATGATAATGATAATGATACAGAACAAGGTTTCAACCTTGAATATTTGCTTGGTGAGACTGGCAGGTTATATTGCAAGCCTACTTGCTCTTGTAACCAATTTAGTCTACCCCCGGGGGGGGGGGGAAACTCCCGTATGAAAGGGGCGGGGATGCTCGTTGTCTCTTTAGGGTTGCACGTGAAGAAATATACAAAAATTATATACTTTCAATTCGTTTTATTTACTCGATTCATGCAATTTAAGTTTACAACTGTCTCTTTTAGGGAGCGGGGATGCTCGTTGTCTCTTTAGGGTTGCACGTGAAGAAATATACAAAAATTATATACTTTCAATTCGTTTTATTTACTCGATTCATGCAATTTAAGTTTACAACTGTCTCTTTTAGGGTAAAAAAAAAAAAGAGGCTGGGCCACGCTCAGACTGACGTTTAGGGTTTTCATTCAAATTTCCGAAGAGCTTCCCCGCCCATTTCATATGGAGTCCCCTCGGGAGTACATTAATTGTAGTACAAGGCAAACGCTATTTTCAGTGAACTCAAGCAGCTGCTAACCCAAGAGAAAATGCTGCTGACATCGCTGACATTATTGCTCATGAATTTCTACAAGGCACTGTATATGTAATAACCTTACCTGTTTCGCGCCAGACTTGTCCACCGTTGCAGACTGTCAGATCGAACCCATTGTTGCACCCGTCAAATAAATTCGTGAGAAGATAATAATTTTGATCTCCAGCTTCTATTCTTGTAAAGGCCTGCTGCATTGTAAGGTTGTTTAGAGATATATAGAATCGAATGAATGCTTCACTTGTGACGATAAAAAGTGATAGGCGACCACAATTTCACTAGAACCTGGGCTCTAGTATTTTCCGACAACCGGTCACAAAAAAGGGTCAAGTATGTCTTTTTTATCTATTTATTTTTTCTAAAGTTACAGAAACATTCTACAACTTATTCTTATAAAAAGAAAACAAGAAAAAGCAGATCTCTGAAAAAGGAAAAAGCGGTGACAAGGCTCACTAGCATTTATTTCCCGCGCCTTTCACGCCAACTGACGTCTGTCACGCAATTTTTGCTTATCGCTCATGAATATCTAAACAGTTTTAGACGACTCAGCCATTTATTTGACTTCGTCGCCAAAGTATCAACCTTCTGCTAACGAAGCTTACACATCTATTGATTCCAAAACGGTGTGAACAGATGGCCAATCTCTTTGCCTTCGCTCTTGCCGAAAACAGACTGGTTTATCAGCCGGGTGAAACAATTTCAGGAAGCTTGCTTCTCAACACGGACAAAGAGCTAAATTTGAGAAGTATTCGGGTTGAACTACAAGGAACAGGACACGTACGCATTCGTTCCGGTAAAGTCACCTACGAGAGGAGAGAGCCATATCTGGGTTTTCAGATAGTCGTACTTGGAAGAGGTGAGAATTTAACACGTAAACTTTTGTTTCTGACAGTGCGATTCTTTCGAAGGGAATGTTCAGAAAGGAAAATAATTTGGCACAGAGGAGAACTAGCCTTGTGTCCAACTCGTCTATTAAATAAGCGTGGTTTCAAATCACATGATAGAAAACTTATTAGCATACACAAGCTTTCGATCCATCACGGAATCTTTTTCAAGTATAGAGTATTCTATCCTGGGATTTGAAACCTCGTTTACTTTAAATATAATGATCATCCAAGTGACTCGTTCTTCGCAACAGTGTAAGAACACCTCGACCATATCCTTTTCGACTCAAACTTCAAAAACATGAAAAGTCATTTCATTATTTTAAAGACCTCCATAATTCGAGCAGCAATAAGTATGTAAAGCACTTTCCCAAGATTCTTTTCACACAAGAAAACGCCAGAAAATATTGCGTAAAACAATAACAACAACCTTGCTATTTAATTATAACACTTTGGCATTAAAATTCATATTTATATAGGTCGAATGTCATTCCCTAAATCCAATCGCATAAAACTTTCTTTCCATATAAAGTTGCATCGGCCTACAAATCGTGACCCAATTCCCTGATCTATTCCTTCGCAATCCAGACCAGAGCATACAAACATTTCCCATATTTCGGGGCACACAAAAAATTAAAATCCTCACTATTACTTTTGTCACTGTATTAACATACGGTCTCTCAACGGGGTGCTGCACTTCCCGTTTCTGCTCTGTGATTGCCCCCGCAGGGATTTTGCCCACAAGGCGAAATCCCGAGGAGGCACTCTAGTAGCTCGCTGATAACATCTCCCCCCCCCCCTCCCCCTCCACCTCCTCCTCTAACCTCCCTATAATTTCCCATAAATCTCTCCATATCATAAAACATAAGCGCAAAGTGTGTGAGCAAAGTTTACATGTGATGATTTATGAGGAGAAAGCGAGAGTTATTTGATGATATTTTTCTCGTATTAAGTATGGAAATTGTTCCTGGTTAGCCGGCTAATCTTTATCCTTTTCAGGTCCTCAGAGCGGTAATGATGTAAGACTTTTACCCGGCAATTATGCTTTTCCATTCCAATTTCCTCTGCCTCCACACAGTTTGCCAACATCGTTTGAGGGTCCATACGGTAGCGTCAGGTACTGGCTTCAGGCAGTAGTGGATCGACCCTGGAGAACAAATCTACAGATTACCAGCCCACTGTGTATTGTGGAGCGTGTGCAGATTAGAGACCCTGCGTTAATGGTAAGTCTAAGAAATCACAATTTTGAAAAGTGTGATAAGCTGCTTAAATTTCTGGCCATCATTTCGGAATTTTATATCCCGAATGGAGTGACGTGGAGCTAAACATAACCACACAAAACTTGATTGGATCAAATGAACAAACACTGAAAACTAATAAAAAATACAACAACGAAAGAAGACAAGGAATTTAGAGGTGTAGGATTCTGGGTAGACTGCTTGACGTTACGTTACAATGAGGAATTGGGTCAAGACGAGGAACAGACATGTTTAATTGGTTAATTAAATTCTTTTGACAGCTTCGTATTCCCCAGACAGAACAAGAGAGTTAGCAGTCTCTTATTTTTTCTTCTCGGCCTTACACCCTCGTTTATCGCTCTTGGCCGCTCGTGTGCTTGGGTTTTTCAGGTGCAGTAACTTTGCAAAGAAAAATAAGAGACTGCTCGCAGTCTAGATTTTGGGTGAAGGGAAAAAAACAGGCACAAATTGGGCTGTTCTGAACATCACCGTGAATACTCTGCAATGGTGGGTCTGGGGGAGAGTCCGGTGATTTCGTGGGCCACCCCCACCCCCACCCTATGTTCCAAATGCCTCCATATACGCAACAGATTTTTAGGGATTTACTGTGTGCTTTAGAGCAGGGCACCCAACAAATGAATATTTCCAAATACTCTGGAACCAAAGTGTATCAAATTGTTTTCCATCTCCTCGAACAGGACAATCGCAGGAGAGTGATTACTGAATAAACTGTGAATCGATTTTTTGTCTCGTGGCGTATCAATGTAAAAGAGAGCCGGATCTTATGTACTCATTAACAAACCAAACTAGTGACTGATGTTTCATCTATTTTTCTTTCCAGGAACCATGTGTGAAAAATGATGACCGAATGCTTGGCTGGGTTTGCTGTCCCTCTGGCCAGCTGTATGCAACAGCCCGTATTGACCGTAGTGCTTATTGTCCGGGCCAAGAGGTCAGGATAACTGGTCATGTCAGTAACCAAAGCGGCAAACAGGTTATTGGTACTGAAGTGCAGCTTGTACAAAAAGCTTTGTATAAGGCACCTCATGGTAAGTGCGTAAGGGAGGATATGAGGAAGCAGTAGTCAGAAAAAGACATTTTCGGATTATACAGTGTTTATTTTATGTATGTTCTGGTATTCTGATCTTGATGGGTAGAGCCAGAGGCACTAATCTCTATTGCACAGCAAAGCAAAATCTCTCACCACAGTATCAGTTTGATGCCATTGCTAACAAGTTGTTAGAGCTTCCGATAACCGCCACTCACGATGGCGTTTAAATTTGATGATGGAAATGATATTTCAAAACTGCGGCTACTAAAAAACCACCCGATTTGAAAGGGTCCTGCACAAACAGAGTTGGATTTAGGGGAGGGGCCCCCACGTTACTTTTAGGCCAAACCGAAACGCACACGTCCAAAATTATTAATAGTGAGCATAAGCAAAGACGTTTTTGAGCGACTCACGTCAACCGGAAGTGATTTTTGCACGGTGGTTTTGCCCAAATTTTTGGACAAATCGTCTCTATAATAGTTAAGACACTTAGAAATACAAGTGTGGGAGCATCAAGGTGCTTTAAAATGAAAAACACCTCACCTCCGGTTGACTTGCGTCGCTCAAAAACACCTTTGCTTGTTTCAGAAAGTGCTTAGATTAGATTAGAATAATTAAATTTTACAAATGACATTTACCACATGGATATTGTTAGTATTTTATGTCAATTTCCAAATTTTTTTGTTTATTTTTTTTTTGTATTTCATTGAATGAATGAATGAATGAAAACTTTATGTAAGTGTCTATGTTTTTAGCTATAAGCTAATGGGAGACACTGTAAAATAATAAGTCAAATACCAGATACAAAATATCACTAAAAAGAAAAAATAAAAGATTGCGTGTAGATTATGGAATTATTTACAAAATTTGTTACAAAGCCTCAACAAATGAATATTTACAAGAGTTGAAAAGTCAACTTCCGTAATGTTCCTCTTAAACGAGTTTAGAGTTTCTATCATTCTTAGGTGTCTTGGCAACTTCGACCAAATGAGAGGTCCCATATATTTTATTGAATTCTTTTATTTACCTACTATTTATTTATTTATTTATAATTTATTTGGTAATCTGTAGGTTCAAGTCAATTCTTTTTTATTATTATTTTGAATTTTATCAATGTATTTATTCATGAGTTTATTTTTTAAGTTCTTACAGTGATGGGCATCCCCCTTTGTAGGACCTAAAATTTTGGGCGATCCCACACCTATTTGATTTTGATTAGCTGGGAAAACAATAGGGGTTGTAACATAACAATGCCCCTATCTATGAAAACAGTGGAAGTGCACATTAGAGGGGACCAGTGAAATAAGAGGTTTAGAAGGGTGCATGTCAAGAGAAAATTTTATGTAGACGTAGATGTAGATGAGCCATCCTCGGAGACCCAGGGGCAGTCAGTCGGGTCGAGAATGTGGATAAGCAGGCCCCCAGTCAGCCACTCATACTTGAAGATCTGAATCTGCCACTCAAGCCAAAATCTTGTATGAGCTGAATACATGCTTTATCTAGACTAACTGCATTAACTTTGTTTGTTTTAGATACCACGCGCACAGTTACAGAGAAGATTTATGTTTTAACAAACGAACAGGGATTTGCCCCCGGGGAGGACGGCGATGTTCACTTTGATGCTTTTTCCGTTCCTTCCGTTCAGCCAACAACGGAGGGGTTCGGCTGCATTGACATATCTTACAGAATAAGGGTACGTGAAACCACAGCAATTACATAAAAGAAAAATTCAGCTGACTTTTTCATAAGATGTAGGAAGACTGAGCACTAGCTTAGTTTTGCTTGGACTGCGAGCAGTCTCTCTTTTTCTTCAGATTTAATGAGAGCAATGCACGCGCGCGGGAGCGAGAAGCCGCGAGACGCGCGAAACGAGGGTGGCAGCCGGAGAAGCGTCTCGCGCCATCAGTCACGCGCGTGGCCATTTGCGTGTCTCGCGTTTTGCTCGACGGACTACAGAAAAAAAAAGAGACTGCTCGTAGTCTAAGTTTTGCTCAGAAATCTGGTATCGCTTAGGCTACAACAACAAGCAATGATTGGTTAAAGGTTGGTTTTGGGTACCCTGGAATCATGGGGTTATTTTCTGAACAACATTTAGTGTCGCGTCGGTGAAGGTCATTCCTCTGAAATGAACCTGCAGTGAGAAGTTTGTCAAATTTTACCGATTGGTTGCCTATGTTATGGGAACTAAAATTTGGAAATAATATTGGTGAGTTTCTATACTCCTTTAGGAGCAGCAGCTACTTGTATAAACGCAATAATTCCTTAAAATAACAATATGATTATATTTGATTTTTTGTTCTGCATGCACAGAGATTAGTCTATATTTATTTTAGAGAAAGAAAGTTGCTCATCTTAAAAGAAAAGAGATAAATTATAGGTCACCGTACTCGTTTTTAAGGGAGAAAATGAACAGAGTAGTTGAATAAAATCAAAGCGTTGTTTGATTATATTTGGATATCCTTGACCAATCAGGTCCTAACACTGGTACTCAAACGATCCCAAGAGTCGTTCCTTTAAAAGCCTGCACCCTGCATTCTCGTCAAAGTTTCTGGCTTGGTGAATAGAAAAACCTGTGAATGTTGAAGGGACAGAAAACAGAAATGACTTTGGTCACTTGTAGTCTTGGGCCCTGTCCACACGTATCACTAGGGACTTTAAGATCCAACGACGCGGACGACAGCGACAACGTCAAAAAAAACAATTGGTTTAATTAGCAAAACAACAACTTCGCACGTGCATCACACTTTATTGTACATTTCTTTCCCGTTTTTGCACGACTTACGACGTGAAAATGCCTAATTTCACGTTTTATGGAGGACGTAAACAACCAACGACGAAATTTTATTTCTCTTTCTGAGCTTGAATTTGGTCCCTTGAAATTCAGCTTCAGGAGGGTTCGCCTACAATAATATTGACAAAGTAAGTGGGTAGGAATAATCGCTATGAAGACTGAAAGAACGCAAATTCACGTTTTAAGCGACATTCTTGTCGCCGTCGCGTCGTTGGATCTTAAAGTCCCTACTATTCGTTTGAAAACGCAACTTTGTTTCTCCGTTTTCAAAAAATCCGCGTCCACTCGTAGCGTTTTCACATCGTTTTCGCCCGTCCACACGTATACGATGAATCGATTTGAAAACGGTAACTTACCCGACTGCGCATGCTTGACGCATGTGTGTTAAAAGACAAGAAGGGGAAGCGCCCGTCCGCCATCTTGAATAAGTTTCTAATATTGCTCGGAGTGGAATGGAACTGATAATGTGACCTCAGCGTTTTCGAAAAGTTCCGTTTTCGTTTGCCCAGACGCACACGCAAAAACAATGTTTTCAAACAGTTCCACTCTGGAGAGCGTTTTCGAAAAGTTCCGTTTTCATTGATCATTTTCATCGGATACGTGCGGACGGAAGCCGTATCCGTAAAGAAAAAGTAGCGTTTTCAAATGAAAACGGATACATGTGGACGGGGCGTTAGTTATTGCTTTAGTTAAAGGATAATCACAAGCCTCAGAAACATTTCAAAGGAAAAAGGAAAGAGCTATTACTGTAAAATAAGCGTTATTTAAACATCGAAGTGTTAGTACGGAGTTTTTAATTCATATTTATTTTCAACTCTCTTTTCAGTTTAAAGTGCGTGTAGCCAGAGCTTTCAACACAGAAATAGAATTCCCAGTAATAATAACCACAGTGCCTCCTAGTGCCCAACCCTCCATCGAACAAGTTCTTAGTCATCAGATCTACAGCGCTCTCGCCAATTACCTGGCGTCACGTGTATCCGCCGAGTTGGCCAGTGATGAAGCTGCAGACGAGGAGACCGAGACAGGAATGGGCCGAGTTGCACTGGATGATGGATCAACAGCGTCAGATTTTCCTGGTAGGTTTGCATACAAAAAAACAAACAATAAAACACTTTTATTCATAATTTGCCATTATCGTCTTTAAGATGGAAAGCTCTTTATTTTCAGTTGTCTAGAATAAACAAAGTCGATGGCAATTTACTGTATTGGCAAATCAGTTTATCACTTGTTTGCCCCTTGAGAAATCACGTGACATTGCCTCTATCCCATTAGTCACTAAGCGCGTGCAAAGACGGCGGTTATCGTGAATGAGGTCTATTTTAAGGCTTCAAAGTTAAGCGTGACTATAGTTTTCACTGAACAGGAACTGTTCACAGATTATATTGAACATTGGTTTAATTTTTTTTCGTTTTTACACAGGTTCTCGACAAGCTCCTGCCGTTCCCTTACACAGCAGCACTAGGAATGCTCCAGCGAACGGCAAGCCTTACCAATATTCAAAGATAGAAGTGGGACATATCTATCTTCGTACGATCTCACTTTGCCTCCCATGAGAATGGAGACAGTAGACACTTCCATGCAAAGGGGAAGGGAGAACATATGGAAATGTACATTGTAAAATACAATAACACAGTGGCACCCAACGACGGTCTCCTCCTAAATGCATTGAAAACACTTTCTAGGCTGTCCAGAGTACTTTCAGATCTCTAGAAATGTATTCTAAGTTGCGCTAAAAAGTTTTTATCTGTTCGGTCATCCTTGGGCATTTTGAGTCTTTTCGAAATTAAAAGGACTTCAGTATTATTTCCCGAAAATTTGAGCTGCTATTTAAAGTTTTACGAAAGTGAAAATTTTTCTGATTCCTCTCTACATCGCATTTTCGGTTCCGAAAATCCTAGGTTCCTTTCTCTACGGAAATAGCTTAACCTGGGGAGTGAAATGGGAAATATTAAACTTCAGAAAATCGTTTAGGGAATTTGTTAGCTTCAAAAAAGTGAAGTGAACGTTCATCTGGAAATTTTAGTTTAAATCTATAGAAAATTCTAGGCAATTTTTGCTCCTCCGAACAGATATATTTTACAGAAAACAAGTTGTCGGGTGCCCCTGTTATCAGACCACCAAGAACAGGATCCTTCCCACCAAATTCAAAATTGCTGCAGAACTAAAAAGAAGGAAAGAAGCTCGATTCCGAAGTTATATTTTCAAACTGTAGTGTGAGTTAAATACTTTCAAGGGTGTTCATCCCTCACCACGTTTAAAGTAAGCAGGGGTAGAACAAAAGTTTCGAAGCAGCCCATTCATATTTAAAGCCTAGTCCCTACTGAGATTAGTGCGGTGCCGGATCGGGCCACGATAAAACCACGGAAGTGGACGTTTTTGAAAATAAATATCATATTGACATTATGTAAAATATCGTTGGCTTTGTGTGTTTATTTGTTCGAGGTACTTTCAGGAATTTGTTTCCTCTATACTTTTTAGTGTCTAGAAAAAAGAAAAAAAACTGGTTTTATTAATTTAACTTGCGACGTCGAAAAACGTTGGTCTTCCTCACCGGAAATGAATGAAGCCTGGTTTTCATCAACCTTGTTCCCAGGGTCGGTGAGGGTCTCTCTTCCACGGGAGAGGATGGAAAAAGAGCAGGGGCTGTTCCCTGGCCTGACAAAACCGAAACTTTACGCAATGACCACAAGTAAAGTATCTATTATAGCCCCCTTTGAAGGTTTGTGTTGCAAACCGATATATCGGGCAAATATAATTCATCATTTTAATTTTGTATTCTTTCTTTATTTTTCCTATCACTCTTCCCGTGACCGTAAGGATCAGTTTACTGCTCTGATCTTAAAATTTGGTATAATCAGACAAAAAAAGTCCAACACTGGACTCCGCGTGGACTAATCGTCCTCTATTCTTCGTTTTCTTTAAAAGACTCCTTACAGTGAAGTGAGAATTGAACACGCCTGATCCCAGAGGAACAGACTGGCTAGCCTAACAAAAACAGTCGTCTGCTCTTTCGTTGTTCAAGAGTTGGATAGCGCTATCTATGCCAGATAAATGACAATCCAGCTTATAAATATTAGGGAAATCCACTGCGTTTATACTGATCCACTGCATATAGATTTATCCAGTGGATAGCGTTATCCAAGTTTTGTTTGTTTGTTTGTTTGTTAATTTTTTTACCTCAGTAACCCGGGCCAGAAGAAACTGAAAGACTCAAGCAAATTGAACCCTATTTTAATACTGACTTCTTGTTAGGATTCTGTCTGTTATGTTTGTATTTCTCAATTAAGCGTTGAAAAACACCCTCCCCCAAGCCAAGAAACGAATGATAAAAAAAGGATTCTTGATCATCTATTCATTTATCTGAGGGTGCCAATGGGGTTAGTAGTTAACTGATATTTGGCCAAAAGAACAGTAGTTAACTCAGTGATAACTGACCAAAAAATTAGTAGTTAATTGAGAAATGAAAAGTTAACAGTTAGGTGACATTCTATTAATTATACTGAATACAGTGGAACCTCGATATAACGAACCTGTATATAACGACGTACTCGGTAAAACGAACGATTTTCTTTACCCCAGTAATAGTAAAATATATGGAAAAATACTTCGATATAACGAAACCTCGTTATAGCGAACGATTTTTGCCAGTCCCTTGGTTTTGTTATTCAACAAGACTATATTTTGGCAATGATATTGTTTCCTGTCGTCTGTTGCAATGGATTGCAAGGATTGAAAATGGATTGAAATTTAGGCCATGCAACAACAAGATACAGGACATACAGCAACCAGATAAGTACGAAGCTGATTCAGATAATGAAAGTACCGAAGAAGGTAACTTTGAAGTAGTTTATGGCAGGACAGGCCGGGAAGATCGAGATCATGACTGGTGCGTCTATATCCCGAGGCTGGTGTCATATTAATGGTTATATTACTTAGGCCTGTTTCAAACGTTGTGCTACTGCCGTGCTAAGCTGGCTCGACTGTAGTTCGACTGCAGCAAGTCATTAGCACGACTTGGTTTCAGTCGTCGAATTTAATTCGCACAATGACAGTCGAATGGAACGGCTGTTACCAAAAACAAAACACAAAAATAAAGAAACGGTTTAGCAAACTTTTAAATGTATTCTAATGAATTTATAATTCATGAATTGAGTTCGGCACGGCGGTAGCACGACGTTTGAAACCAAGTCGAGCTACGGCCGTGTAGCACGGCAAGCCTTGCCGTGCTACACGACTTGGTTTCAAACGTCGTGCTACTGCCGTGCTAAAGTCGAATTTAATTCGATCAATTGCGTTCGGCACAGCAGTAGCACGACGTTTGAAACGCGCCTTAATCTAATTTGCACTTATACAGCAAAAATCGGTTAATAGGGGCCTTAGCTGTCGTTTACCATTTTTACTACTTTGGTGAGATAATTATGTTCTTTTCTTTTTTTTCTGTTACGTATAAATTGTACTAATGGCGGAGTTTATGTTAATTCATGTAAATTTATATCTTGATTTTAGTGGGGCCTACCCCCAGAAGTGATTGACGTGCTGAAAAAGAAAATTTGGGTTATGACGGAATAATAGTCGCTTTTGGAAGGTGAAAGTTAATAGTTTACCAAGTTTAGTAATTAACTGATATTTGGCCGAAGAATTTGTAGTTAACTGAGAATTGGGTACCGCCATTAGCACCCTCTTATCTCGATCCCCGATCCCCGATCTTCATCTTGATTTTCCAAGACCCACCCTACTGTGGCGGATTCCAAGAATAAGTCGATTATTCACGGAAGCTGGAAGGACTTCCGCTTACTATCTCTTTTGTTACACCCCTTCCCCCCACCCCCCCGAGACGCAGTGGAAAAATTAGAAGAGCCCGGGGGAACGTTTTAAGATCACTTCTACGCATGTCTTTTGTTGTTGGTCTAAAGAACAGTCTGGACTCGCCTATACGCTGAGACGAATTTCCTTTCTCCCGTTTATTCTCAAAAAATGACTTGTATTATGCTTCATAGTTCATTCTAATGGGCAAAGTGGACTACTTCCATGTTGTCTTTCAAGATGGTAAGACAACTTTTTTCCCCGGCGAAGTCCTTAACGGAACGGTGAACTTAAAAGTGAACAGTGAGTTAAAACTGCGAGGGATTCGAATCGAGTTCCATGGAGTCGCCAACGTCTTCCTTTCCGCAGGCGATCAACGAAGGAAGAAACCGGCGAACAGTGAAGTGTATATTGACCTTGTAGCAACGTTATATGGAAAAGGTAAGTACAAGATGTTTTCTAAATATTTTTTTATTATTATTCTTGAATCTTCCAGGCAACTTGCTGACTTCAAAATCAGTCAACCTTTGTCACCTTACTGTATTTAAAAATAAACATTCAATGTTTGTTATACTTCATTAGCTTTCATTTATTTTTGGTAAAAAAATCTCAGTCTGTACTTAGGTTTTTGAACACTACATGTAATTCAACAAGCTAATATACAATGCCAATACCTACATGTAATTATTTAATTTCGTTGTGTCAGGGCCTCTTCACATGAGCCCGGTTGGCCGGGCTGGCATACCTGCCAACTCTCACGCCTTAGGCGTGAGTCTCACGCCTGCGGGTTGAAAACTTCGATCTCACACCGGCTCACGCTTGCGGGCCAATTTCTCACGCCTGATTGAAAAATGTGAGTTGTTGCCCATGTAAGACCCATGTAAGGAACGACAACCATGTGTAAAATGAATAAATGACAATACCTTCCTCGCGATCTCTGATTTTTGAAGTGAAAAGCACTGGGAGCGAGCTCGCGTTTATACGCGTCCTAAGACTGGGACTCGATAACTTCGCCTTTGGCAGACTTCGGACGTCTTCGGAAGACTTCGGACTTCTTCGGAGGACCTCGGACTTCTTCGGAAATCTTTGGAAATGATCGTGTCGTCTTCCAAAATCCCAGCACTCCCAGGATAAAAATCTCATGCTTATATCTCAGAAAAAGTTGGCAGGCATACTGGCCCAGTGTCCGAGATCTCGTCTTACCCCTAAATCGTTAATCCTTTGTAAATCAGGGGCACCCAACGAGAATATAGTTCAAAACCACTTAAACACAGCATTGTTAAACGTATTTTAGTATTTAAACGGTAGATATAGGCATATTTTTATCCCCTAAAATTTTTTATCCGTTCGGATTTCCTAGCTGAAAGTCTAGAGACCCGAAAATTATAGGGATCAAAACTTACCTTTTTGAAACTTTCAGCCAGCGAAAAGGCTCCCGAAAATTCTAGGTGAGCTTTTTAGGGTAAAAATCCATTAAAAATGGGCAATTATACCGGCCAATTTTTAGATGTTTGAAAATGCTAGGAGAGGTAGGCAAGCAAGGAATTTTACAAGAAATGTTCCGAAAGTTGTAGATCTCAAATCGTCTTCCGAACAGATATTTTCCTAAAATTGATGTTGGGTGCCCCTGGTAAATTTTTGTTGTGTTCACATGAGAGGGCGGGCTGGCTCAGGTCTGGTTCAGATGCCGTACTTTTCATGTGTCGAA